CCCGATTCAAGGCCTTGAAAACTTTTTCGGGATATGATAATGCTTCAAATACTTCGCCAGATCTCGATGAGTTTCTAGGCATGCACCTGTACAACCAAGTTAACACACATTAAAATTTTAATGTATGAATTGAAAGTAAAGAAAACTGACTACATTAAGAATTTTGTATTTCTTTCAACTGTAATTGATAACACCATCAATTCCCCGACAATGGCGCCAAAATTTGATCATGCCCAACTATGCCTTATAAAAAGGATAAGCGGTCGTTGCAAATATAATCCGGATATTTATCCCAGAGTCGAATCCCACAGGGATTAACCTATCGATTACTTATGTCATACTCACTGAATTCTCCGTAATCAACTTCCCAGATATTTTGAATAACAATTGGTGATATTTTTACTACTATAACTGAATAAAGTTAAGTAAACTAAAAGCTAACTATAACTGAGTTGTAAACAAATAAGAGAAGGATCTAACGTTGTGATTTTCCCTATTGATGGAATCTCTTCCTGTTAGGTTTCGCATAGATTTGTCTAATCGTCTCTATCGATCATGAGCACTCTTACTACCTTAAATCTCTCCCGAGTAATTATAACAATTTACTAGACGCACTATCTCGAGTTAGGCTAGCTGGCTTTTATTATAGCTCACTTTAGATCGCACCCAAGGTTTCGTTAACCCTAATACCATCTTTAAACCCTCGGTTATTGATTCCTCATATACTTTGGGAGTGGTGTTGTTCAACAACAACCTAAATATGCACTCTATCCCGAGTAATACATACTAAATAGGCACAGCTCATTGAGGATCCTATCAATTAACTACAACAAGAACGTATTTGAACAAATAGAGATTAACTAGGGAAACTATATTAACACAACAAGAAGTTCATCCTCAACAGGTTCCATCAAAACCCTAGACTAAATAATTAGCTACTCATAGCAAAACAAGATAAAATCACAAAAGTATTCATAATTTGCAAATAAAGATAACAAGAAGAAGATTGAAAAACTCTAATGGTTTCTTGATCTTCTCACACTTGTTCTTGCCTCCAATTCAGTCTAAAAAACAAGCTTGAACTTTTCTTGGGCGAGTTTGTTGAGCTTATATAGGGTTAGGATAAGTTTCCCACGATTTACACTTAAGTCCCTAAATTTCTGGGCAATTACACAGCCGACCGCAGCCGCGGCAGAACGCGGCGCGACCGCGGTGAAATGCATCAATTCTGCCTCACTCGTTTGGCCTACCGCATTCCAGCCGCGGTCGTGGTGGCCTCTTGTCCAGTCATCTTTTGCCTTTTTCTTGCTTATTTTCGTTTGGGTTCTTATTGATTGGCCTTATATCCACATTATTGACTCCAAAATACTCCATAGTCTCTTCCTAACTTGGATTAGTTCCTGCAAAGCAAAAGAACACCAGTTAGAGTATTTTATTATCATTTTGCATTTAAAACAACAATAAAGTATGGTTCATTTAGAGTGTCAATAGCGTCTATATAGACTACTATCATACCCATAGGGACATGTGATTGACTATCAACTAAATTAAACCAAACAATTGATCTATTCAAGCGAATCCTAACGTATGAATATCTAACTAAAATTAATGTAGAGTAACAAACTAAGAGATTAAAGAAAACAAGTTGGCGAATTATAGAGACGAATTCAATGTGAGTGAATATTCTAGAGCTGTAGGTTATCTAACAATTCCGTTGAGTTTTCCACTTAAATCGTCTAATTAATTTATCTAGTTTATTGGTTGACAGAGTTAATATTGCTCGTAGCCTTCTCCCAAAGTACAACTCGCCTATTCAAGCTAATTTAACGCCTATATTCCTATGAAACTAGAATTTACAAGAACACATTAATAATTCCTGTATAGTAACCAAGCAAGGCGATTAGGTATATTCCTATCCTAACCGCAAATCCCTCCCCCCCCCCCCACGTAGTTAACGTATCTTGTCTCTACTTAATCTTATATGCAATCTAGAATTCCTTCTCCCGAGTTCAATCCTAGATTCGTAGATAGTATTCAATTGGTGATCAAACAATCAAATAATTAAGCGCAAGATTGAATAAACAAACCAATATGATAAAATAGTAAGAACAATTCAAGCTTCAAACTACAACGTTCATGTAGCACCCAAAAGTCTAGAACTAATAAACTATGAGATTAAAGGAAGAGAAGAGAAGAAAAACTAGTTGAAAGCCTCCTCCAAGCATGGTGTATGTTCCTCCACGTGAATTCTCCTTCAAAGTATCTTAGATCCCCTCCAAGTCAGGTTTAGGACTCCTTATATACGTGATGGGGTCGTGTAGGTAACCTTGTCCCGAGCGAATTAGGAAAAGTCCCCACCTCCTGCGTGCAGACCAGAGCTAGGCGCTGAAGGCAGTGAGCTTTCCGCGTGTTTACGCGTTGCTTTCAATTTTTGTGAATTATATCTCTTCTTTTTCTTGTCTTCTTCTTGGAGGGACAAACACCAAAAGGTGTCCTCGCCCCCCCCCCCCCCCCCTTTTCTTCTTTTTTTTTTAAAATTTATTTTCCTTCTTTTTTTCTTCCTCGTTTTATTCAATTTTGCTCCAAATTTCTTCATCTTCACACTGCTTCATTCCTACACAGTTAAAATATAATATTAAGCATAAAGTAATATAATTAACAGTCAAAAGACGATTAAAAGTACTAGAATATGAGGCAATGAGTAAATATATGCATTTTTGGTTAACGAATTCACATGTATTCACAAAGAACCATAGGCTTGCTCATTATGTACATCTATACTAATTAAGTGTGCTCGAATAGAATCAAATAGGGCTTTAATGGATTGTAATGTTGGCTAAAGGACTAATTAAGTGTGCACAAATATGTATGCTGCTTTTACATGGTTTCTCGGTCTTGTCCCGTCTTGTTTTCTTGTTATTATTGTAGTACCTATACTTTCCTGAGCCGATGGTCTATTAGAAACAACATCTCTACCTACAAGGTAGGGTAAGGTGTGCATACACACTACCCTCCCTAGACCCCACTATGTGGGATTATACTGGGTATGTTATTGTTGTTGCTGATTTTTATTACCAAACAAATTTAAATAAATAAGGCTACAAACTTGTAAACTGTTTTCTATTATAAAATTTTCTTATTTTCATCATTTTAGCATATATAAATGCTTAAAAAGTTTAGTGGCATGAATAGATTAAATTCATGTATCCAGTAAAAAGATTAATGAAATAGGTTAGTAAACTTGACAAATAAGAGGCATAGTACAACTAATATTCTTTTAAAAATAAAAACAATAGAAAGGGGGTATGTTAATATTTAACCACTTGAGAGGTATGTGCTACAGGACGAGAGAGGAAAGGTTTGTGAAATTATCCTTCTATTTTATATTTCTTATTTATTTCTTGCACTACTAGCAGCATCCAAATATGACGAGGACTCTATGTTGGTAAGTGCTGGGGATGATGCCTCACTAGATGCCACCAAACTTGGACAGAGAAGTCAGAGAGGACTTTTGTTTTTTAAGAAAGATAATAACTGTTTGACTTCTTACCCAATTCGCTGCATTTTTGCATTGGTCAGATTCTGCTATTTGGAGCAAAAGGCACCATATTTAGGGTGTGTTTGGTACGAATGAAAATATTTTGCACGGAAACTTATAGAAAATAAATGGTTTTATCACTTATTTTTTTTTATTTGGTTGGTAAGTAAAAATATTTTTTTGGAAAATATTTTCTAATGTTTTGGTTAGAGAGTAGAAAATATTTTTAAAAAATAATAATTTATGCTACACTCCTTACCCCCTTCCCCCCAAGTCCCTATGTTTCTTGTGCTCTCCCCCTCCCCCTCCCCCCACTTCCCCATAAATAATCAACATTTTCATGACTCTATTTTTTTCAACAATTTAATTATTCTTCAAAAAATTCACATAAACCCGAAGGAACTAATGTGTTGCTTTACTTTTTAGCGCAAAAACAACGTTGAAATTTGTGATCCATAACTAAAAAAAAATACTATTTTGTTGGTTGAAAAAGAAAGTACTATTTTCTACAATATGAAAATAAAGTACTCATTCTGTTAAAAATGAAGAAAATACTTTTTCTACCTCATGAAAAGTAAGTACTATTAATAATATTTCTATTTAGGATTGGGGTGGAGGTGGGGTTGGGGTGGAGTGGGGGTGTGAGGGTGGGTTTGTAGGGGTTGGTGGGGATGGGGAATGGGGGGAAGGTTGGAAAAGAGTTATAAAAAATATTTTCCCTTTCTCTTGATAATTGGAGGAAAATGAGTTCATGAGTAAAATATTATTTAAATTATTTAAGCCAATCAAATATGAGAAAATTGGAAAACATTTCTTCATACCAAATACACCCTTACTCTTTCGTTTTTCCTCCATTTTTCATACCGGGGTAGTTGGAGATGCCTAAATTACTTTTCTAGTTGGAAACATGAGTTTTTGTTAGGTGAAGTAGACATTACTTCCTCTATCCGAATTTATGTGGCATATTTCTTTATTAACCGTGAGTTTAGGCACAGAATTTTGTTCTTTGAAAAATAAAAAAATTACATATTCGAAAACTACGTAAGAAAATATTATAAATCACAATAATTAACAATTTATAATATTGAAAAACCATATGAAAAATCACAATCAAAGAAGATATTGTTTAACTCTCAAAATCTGGATATCACCACATAAATTGGTACATAGGGAGTATAAAAATATTTTAGACAACTTGGTTAATTTGATACAAACAATAGCTAAATTTTCATATCAAAGTTGGTATATCACTTATATCACTTAAATTGTGGTACTATATAATTGAACTCTTAAAAATTACACGCGCACGCATATAGAGAGAGAAGCTACCAACCCCCTAATATTTCAACGCAATGCACTATCCGTTTTGCTTTGGTGATTCAAACTTTTGTCATTGATCTTATCTTTGATCCCTTCACGTTTTCAAAGTTGTCGGGTTCTTCTATGTTTTTTCTTTTTTCTTTTTTTCTTTTTGTATCCGAAACAAGATTTGCCAACCCACATTACTTAAATTACTTACCTATCTTTCCCTAACCTACTCAACAACAAAGACAATTACATATACCCTTCATTTCTTTAATCCCCTATAAGTGGATTATGTTTCCATTAAGCTCTTTTGCATATAAATAGGACTCGTCCAATACAATCCACAATGCAACCGTATTCTTTTTTCCTTCATATTACCATTTCTTGTATTAAAGCTTAGAGGGGGAATAGCTTAAAGTTCCATTCTTTTCTTGATTCTTAATTCTTGATTCTTGATTCTTGATTCTTGATTCTTATTTGGTTTGTGGAAATGGGTAGTGTTGGATTGTTGAAGAATTCCGCCATGGTTTGTGCTCCATTAATGGCCCCATCAGTGGAGCAATTGGTTCATGGTATGCTTCAGGCAAAAGCACAAGGTGCAGATTTAGTTGAGATTAGGCTGGATGGTATCAACAACTTCCAACCCCAGAAAGATCTTCAACTCCTCCTAAATAATAATCCACTTCCTGTTCTCATTGTTTACAGGTATCAAGGTTTATTTGTTGTTTATTTTTTTGTTTTTCGTGCTATTTGTTGAATAAAATTTCATGCTCTTTCTGTTATATATCGCCAAAAAATGCAAATGAATGACAGCAAAGCCTGACAATAACTGAGTTACGCGAAGATGGCTTTGGATGGGTTGGGGGCGGGGAAGGGACCACAAGTTACAGTAATGGTAATTAATGGTGTGTTCGTAACTTCTGTGGATTGATAAAATCCACGCCCAAATAGATGCAATGTTTCTTTTCCATTTACTATTTCTGTTTGGTAATGGGGAAAGGAAGAGATATTTTAAACGTAAAAAAAACTATGGACGTTACTTAAAACAAAGTTAGTGAAATAATAACCTGTTTTGCCAAGCTTTTTTTTTTTGGCCAAAAGTGCTTTTTTGAGGTGTTTGTTCATGCTTTTGAAAGGAAAAAAATACTTTTGAGGGGAAGTAGAAGCAGTTTTTGAGAAGCAGAAAAAAGTAGCTTCTCTCCAAAAATACTTTTCTGAGAAGCACTTTTGAGAAAAATACATTTAGAAGCAGTTTTTAAAAGCTTGGTCAAACACTAAATATTAGTCAAAAGTGCTTTTCAAATTTAATAACCAAACACAAACGATTTTTCACCAAAAACACTTTATTTAAAAGTACTTTTGAAAAAAACACTTTTTAAAATAAACTGATTTTAAAAGCTTGACCAAACAGGCTATTAGACATTTACGACGGGAGTTTGATGATTGAATAATGTTCCACTTGATAAAAAATTAAAATTTCTCAGCAAAACATTACCTACTTATTTGTCAAAAAAATAAAATAAAACACTACCTACCTACAAAGTGGTTAAAAGAGTAACGTTTTTGTTGACTTAAATTGGGAAAGAAAGCACTGCTTACCTACAAAGTGGATATTGTATTATTTCTCCCATTTTCTTACACTTTCTCCTGTGCGTCCACCCCCCCCCCCCCTCCCCCCCCCTTTTTTTTTCTTTTTTTTTCTTTCTGATATCTTATTTTTCGGACTTTGCAATTTTGTTTGTCCATATATTAGGGCTGTGCATAATTTGGTAAATACCGAATTACCGTACCGAAATCGAAAATTTTGGTATTTGGTATACGGTATTTTGGTATTTGGTATGGTATTTGGTTTTTGGTATTTTAAATTAAAATACCGAAATACCGATACCGTACCGAAATATATATTATATTACACAAAACATATATTATCAATTATAACATGAATATAAAAAATCTAAAATTTTACTTTCCTTTATTCTCTAAGTTCATCAATTAATTCTAAACAAGTAACAAGACATTTCTAACGATCTAATATTCTTTTATGTATAATTTTCTCTATTTGGGTCGATATTTGCTGGTTTTGGACAAATTTTTTGTCAACAAACATTTTCAGTTTTGTATTTTTGAGTAATTTAATTAAGAATATTAGAGTCTATGACTCTATGCACTAGTTAGTATTCAAACCGAATAAACCGAAGTTACCGAACCGAATAAACCGAAACCGAAAGGAGAAAAATCGAACCATACCGAATTTAATTAGGTACGGTATTGGTATAGGATTTTAAGAAACCGAATACCGAAAATACCGAACCGAAATGTCTAAATACCGTACCATACCGACCGACGGACACCCCTACCATATATACAGGGGCGACCCGAGAATTTTGTGACCTAAACCCAAACTTTATGAGGGGCCTAAAGGTTTTTTAAAAATAAATTTATTATTTTTTAATTTGAAATCAATTTTTTAAACTTTTTTAGATGCAAAGTTATTAATTTTCTTATAATCAAGTTCTCCTAATTAGTGTTTCTCAATTGACAATATTACTGATCCATTTAATCTGTCTTGATATTACTGATCTTAGGTAAGATTTTATCAATTTTAATTTTGAAAAACTTCTTTCCGCTGAAGCAACGGTTACATGAGTTATTAACATTAATTTATAAGCAATATATTCATTTGAAAAAGAATCAAACTATTTTTTTATTGAATATATTAATTAAATTATTATCTTCTAATTGTACTATTTTCCTTAACATTTTGAATTCAGAAAATAAATCTATATTATCAATATCATATTGATTATTATGCTTTAAGGAGCATCCAATTAAGTCACTGTTTTTTAAAAGTTTCATCATCTAATTATCTCAGTTTTTTACCGCTAAATAGGAAACTAAAATTTCTTCATATGCTTGGAATTGTTCAAATCTATTTTGAAGTAAAAAAATAGCCTTGTCTACTATGTATAAAAAGTAATCAACTCTAAAAGACTTTTTGAGATATTTGAGAATTCATTATCAGCATTCTTATCAAATTGTTTCTTCCTATATATCACATGTTTCTTACGAAATTCGGGTTAAATATTCATTTCAAATGCAATTTCTTTGGCAAAAATCATAGCAGTTGTAAATCTTTCTTCTTTATATTTGTTAAAGAAAGAAATCAAATATTTGCACTTCACATAACTTTTTTTAATTTATGTATAACTTATTAGGTGTAACAAAAAATGGGGTCCCCACAAATGTGGGGTCTAAAGCAGTTGTTTTACCGAGCCCTGCATATATATTCAAATGATAGACAGTTATCCTTTTTCAAGCTAGCTAATCATTTGTTAGAAACAACAATGTGCAATGGAGTAGTTTTTGTTTGTCCTTAGGCTTGTTTGTTGAATAAGTCATTATACTGAGCTTCAGGCCAATATGGGAAGGAAATGAGTTTGAAGAGGATGATGACCACATCCACAAGCAGTTGGAAGTCCTTCGGTGGGCTAAAGAATTGGGAGCTGATTATATTGAGTTGGACCTCAAGGTACGTACTATATAATGCAAGTCCCTCGATGGACAAATGTTATGAGTAGATTTTCCGCAATTGACTTGTTATGGTTGGTTATGCAAATTTTGGTTCCTTAATCTTGTATGTCTCGTCTTTCCAGGTTTGCCGCATTTTTGTATTTTATGGAGTATCAGTATCCAACAAACATAAGAAATATCTGTATATTTATATCAGTTATTTGTTGGCTCTAAGAGCATTTGTAGAGAGTTTATGAACTTCTAATTCAACGTATTGTTGTTCAGATAGCTAGTGACTTCACGAAAAAAGAAAAGTCGAGGTGGAGTAGTGGTTGTAAAGTAATTGCATCATGCTTTGTGGACAATGTGACCTCAAAAGAAGACCTCAGTCAAGTTGTTGCACGCATGCAATCTACTGGGGCCGATATCCTCAAAATTGTTACAAATGCAAATGACATTACAGAACTAGAGAAAATGTTTCACTTGCTTTCACATTGCCAGGTATTGGTTCTAATTGATACTCATGTCTTTTCCCTTTACATGGATCATGTCATATATAGTGCAATGGATAAATTACAGAAATTTGTCCCCTTAGAATTAGACGAGGAAACTTGGCATATCCATACTGTTAAATCATCTGCTTGGAGTTTAGTTTAGAAACAACTTTCATATTTCATAGAAGATATGAAACTTGGATAAACAATGCAATTCCATATATAGTTTTCCATGTATTTTTTAGTTTAAAAGCTAATGTTTAACGATTAAACAAGGAAAAAGCTTCTGCTTATGTTAAATCAGCTTGCTATTTGCAGGTGCCACTTATTGCATACTCTCTTGGGGAAAGAGGTCTCATAAGTCAGTTGTTGGGCCCGAAATTTGGTAGTGTCCTAGTATATGGATCTCTTGATTGTAATGCTGTACCTGGTCTGCCTACTCTCGGCAGCCTTAGACAAGCCTATGGAGTTGATTTTTTGGATACCGATACTAAAGTGTTTGGGCTTATCTCTAAACCAGTGGGTCATAGTAAAGGACCTATTTTGCATAATCCTACATTTAGACATGTGGGGTACAATGGAATTTATGTTCCAATGTTTGTCGATGATCTTAAGGAGTTCTTCAGGGTCTACTCAAGTCCCGACTTTGCTGGTTTCAGGTATGTCACGCACTAATCATTGAGTAACAAAATCACTGGACTTTATTGTTGAATTGGGTAAATTTGAATCTGGTCCTTATATGTTCCTATTATATTATGAATTGTAGTGTTGGGATCCCTTACAAGGAAGCAGTGGTGAGTTTTTGTGATGAAGTCGATCCACTGGCTAAGGTTCGTATGTAAATCTACTTTCAGCTGTATCTTTATGGAACAAAATGATTGACATAACTGGACTTCGATGTCCTAGGGATCTTCTTTTTTTCGGCCTGAGTAATGACACTTTAGAAGATTCAGGTGCAGCAAAAGCTTGTAAACTTTAATGATATTGGATTCACGATAAGAAAGATGCTCTTTTTTTAGTTTAATACTAGATGACTCTTGTGGAATTAATACAAGAAAAATATGGGCACATATCGATTTCCTTTTCTGTATATTGTAAATAAGCTGTCAGTACAAGTGGTTTGTCTCTTCTAACTGGATAAGCTTTTACTAGTTATTGCTCAAAGATATTTAAGACAAGTTGCCATTGTTTCATGCTTACTTAAAAGTAAAAATTATATTGCATTCATGTCAAGAGACTTTTTTTGATTATGTCAAGCACAATAATCCATTATCTAATTTACCTTAGTGATGTTTGATTAGTCTATAGGGGCTGTAAATACTATCATACGGAGGCCTTGCGACGGAAAGCTAATTGGTTATAACACAGATTGTGAGGCTTCTATAACAGCCATTGAGGATGCTTTGAAAGGTAGAACAGACTTGTATGTTCTTTTTTGGCTAGATAGAGCTTAGTTTCACTTGAGCAATTATATTCTAACTGATGAATATATATACACAGTAAATGGAGCAGCTTTTCTTCCTTCTCCACTCGCGGGTAAACTGTTTGTGGTGGTGGGTGCTGGAGGTGCAGGAAGAGCATTGGCATTCGGAGCGAAGAGCAGGAGAGCTGAAATTGTGATTTTTGACATTGATTTTGATAGAGCAAAGGCTCTTGCTGCTGCAGTTTCTGGTGAAGCTCTGCCATTTGAGAAATTAGCTTCTTTTCAGCCTCAGAAAGGTGCGATCCTTGCCAATGCAACACCTATAGGAATGCATCCAAATAAAGATAGGATACCTGTTTCCGAGGTATATATATATCTCAAATCATTTTCCTTTTCTTTTTTCTATGTATATACACAAGTATTATTTGGGGTTTTTACATGTATGTAGGCAAGCTTGAAGGATTATGTAGTGGTGTTTGATGCTGTTTATACACCTAGAAAGACTAGTCTGCTGAAAGACGCTGAGGCTGCTGGAGCAATCACTGTCAGTGGAGTTGAAATGTTTCTTAGACAGGCCATTGGCCAGTTCCACCTTTTCACCGGAACTAAAGGTAACTTTCTACCTGATTGTGTTGAACATTTTCCTCAATTGAATCTTGCAAACAAAGTTGTGCTTCTTTTCATCAAATATAAACCGTAAACTACTAATTTATATTTCAAATATTCTATCTTTTGCAGCACCCGAAGAATTCATGCGCGATATCGTTATGGCAAAATTCTAATTATCAAGAATTTCCATGAAATTTGTTTCTCTTCAGAATCAGGGCCGGCTCTAATGTTGTCCAAGTAAGGCTTTTGCCTTAGCCCCCAAATTATGGGGGGCCCATTTTTTTAGAAATAATAGATTTATAAGTATTTAAAAAAATGCTAATATTTATGTAGTACTTTTCATAAAAAAAGGTGGAGTTTTCTATAACAGTTGTCTCAAATTAATAATGTCTCAAGATAGATTCAATGGGTTGGCTATATTATCAATTGAAAAAGAATTATTAGAGGAAATCGATTGTAAAAAAATTAGTAACAACTTTGCATCTCAAAAAGAAAGAAAAATAGGCTTCAAATAAGAATATATATCATTACTTTCTTTTAAATTTTAGGCCTCACGTTAGACTTTGGCTTTAGGCCACATATGTGTTTGAGCCGCCCTCGTCAGAATGAACAGAAAATTTGACCTGACATGAAACACGGCGACAGGGATGGGAAAGGAGAAAATATATGCAAGAAATCTTTATGTTTGGAATAACTTTTTTTTTATTAGTAAGAGAAAATATTTACATAAATGTATATATCAGTATATTTAGCTAGCGTTTGGCCATAGATCCCAAATTTATTTTGAAAAATCTGATTTGGGTGAAGTTTGGTTTGAAGATGAAAATGTGTTTGGACATACGTTTTCAAAACATATTTTCCAACTTTATTTTGGAAAAATATGTATATAATTCCCAAGTTTTGGGATTTTGGCCCAAATTCAGCTCAATAGCTGATTTTGGGATTTGAAATTTGCGATTTGGGATTTGGCCAAAATATGGGCAAAATTTATGCCAAACACGAGTTTTGAAAATAAATCTCAAATTTATTTTGGCAAAACTCATGGCCAAACGGGGCCTTAAGACACTTGGCTAGTTAGTATTAAGTGGATATTAAAGCGAAAGGAATGGTTTCCAAGTTGTAATTCAACAATTTACGGAAATTTTATTACAGCGACCCATTTAAAGAAAAGATCGTAATTCGTAAGTTTTATTTCTTAAAAAATGTATCTTAATTTTTAGTTTTCTAGAAGAAGGTTCATATCTTATTGGGAAATTCTCATCTATCTATACTATGTTATCTATCGATCTATCTATATTATATTATCTATCTATCTATCTATCTATATCAATATCATCATACTATATCGAAAGTGTGAACACTTTGGGTGTGTTTGGTATGAAGGAAAACACTTTCCGGAAAATATTTTCCAATTTTCCCATGTTTGGTTGACTTAAATGTTTTGGAAACCATTTTCCTTATGAACTCATTTTCCTCCAATTGGAGAAAAATGTTTTCCTTATCAAGAGAAAGGAAAACATTTTTCAAAACTCCTTCTCAACCTTCCCTACCCTCACCAACCCACCCCACCCCCTCTCTCCAAAAAAGTTCTTTTTTTTTCTTTCAAATTTCAGTTTTTCCGTTACCACTCACCCTACTACACCTCCACCCCACCCCCAACCCCCTCCCGCAAAAAATATATTATTTTTTTACCTTATTTTTTTTATTACAATTTTAAATTTCTGTTCTTTCGTTTTTCTGCACCACCCACTCCCCAACTGCCCCCACCCCCAACCCCCCGAAAAAAATAATTTTTAATATATTTTTCGGTTTCGAAATTATAAAGTTCACGGGTTAGAAATTCTGCGGTTTCGAAAGTTTATGAAAAATGTAGGTTAGGAAGGTTGTTGGTATGAATGTTTATGGCTTCATGTTTATTATATCTAAATTATTTATGAATACTCTTGTGAAGTCATTTTCCTTAATTTGCGTACCAAACACCGGAAAATGAATAAGATTACTACTTGTTTTTCAAGAAAATATTTTCCGTTATACCAAACACACCCTTTATGTCAAAGTTAATTTACAGATTTACCCATCAAAAGCTGACAAGATATTTGTGTACAAAGAGGTAAATATATATATTCCAATGAAGATAAATAAATAGTTAAATTAGATTAGTATAAAGTGGGACCCATTAAGATGGTGTAAGAATATTTAATATATTATTCTACATGCAAAATTGCTGTATACGGTGGAAATCTGGCTACCCGATTTCGTCCTTTGGTGAAAAAAGTGATACCACGTCGAAACGCCAGGATGTCGAGTTCGGGGTCGATGTTCCTTTCCAAGATCGAGGTCGATATCACTTACCGAGGTCAGAAGAGGGCATACTTCAAGATGATACCGGTATAGTTCAGTAACGGAAAGAGCGAGATACCCGTAACGGACCGAAGATCGTGGCGTGAATTTCGGAATGGATTGATCCTCGGCGGTTAATCAGTTGTCAAATATGATTTCCTACTATAATTAGAAGTGTACCTTATTTAGGACTCCCCTATTATATAAAGAGGGATCCCATTCACTTGTAAGAATGATTGTTCACTAATAAGAAAATATATGCTCATTCATTTCTTGCTATTTCACTTTTTGTTCATCATAGTTGCTTTATCATTTGTTATTCCTATTATCACACCTCGAGACTATCATAGGTCGAGGTCGAGATTTGGCTTGCATACCGGTTTGATCTATTTTATTCTCTAATTTGTCTATTTAATTCCTTATTTATTAATTGGCATTGAATTAAATCACATATCCTTAAAACCACAATATAAGTTTAATTGTTACTCAATTTTAGGGTAACGGTTTGGCGCCCACTGTGGGACTAAGGATAATAGTGATTGTTTCAGTGCTGATTCTAATAACACACGTTATTTCGCACTTGTTCTTGTCAAGTATTTTTGCTCTCAGGTTAAAACATGTCAAACTCATAAAACGCACTCATACATGGTGATGATGGTCTCGGATTTCACGGGGAAAATGACAATGATGGGTTTATAGTACCTTAGCTTCATGTTTTGATGATCTAACAAACTTACTATCAAAGAACCAGATAAGGAACCTGATACACTTGGTACACAACTCAATCAACGGACTAAGCTAATGTGAGCCGTTATGACTTCAGAAGATAAAGAATCAACACAGGGACCTGATCCTCTTGTGTACCCATGACAGTAGTACGAAGTCAACTCTCTACAGCTGGAAAAGTGACGGCCTGCCCTGTACACGCAAACAGTGCAGCATAGTGCAGCAGTCACTTCTCATTGACCTTATACCAACCAAGTGACTACATCATTCAAGTGATGTCATCCAAGTTGTATTAACAAAGAACATTACAAGAAAACATCATTTGAGCACTTGAGAATTCATTCAAGCACTCAAAACATCTGAAAATCAAGTATTCAATTCTCAAGTGCATCAAGAACAAAGTACAACACTACTACGGACCAGTTCCTATAGCAAGTCTCTTGTATTTCCTTAGTTGAGTTGTAACTTTGTAATTGTTCTTCATTGTAATTCCTACTTTGCTTATTTAGAAGCTTTAATTAGGAACCTCTTGTAAACCATAAACCTTTAGTGTTTGTGTCGTGACTAGATTTAGTCATGAGTTGAAGTCTTTATAATAGGTGTATTGCAAAGTGGCTTGTAATAGGTGTATTACAAGTTAGTGAGGGATTAAGAGTTTAATTCCTAGATTGCATAGGTTGTAATCTAAAGATTGCTCATAGTGAAGTTGAAATCCTACCAGTGTAGGTCGTGGTTTTTTATCCCCTTGGGCAGGGATTTTTCCACGTAAAAGTTCCATGTTCCATTTACTTACTGTTGCATTAGCCTTATCTGTGAAAACCTATATAAGACCTGGTATCTATATAGTTTGGTGGACTCATACATTCTATCAATTGGTATCAGAGCGGGTTCTTTCTATCAGGTTAACACCTAGAAAGGATCCTTATGGCTGCTCCACTGAACTTCGAAAAGGGTCAGTTTACCTACAGACCACCCAGGTTCAATGGCCAATATTATGGGTGGTGGAAGACAAGGATGCATGATTTTATCATGGCTGAAGACTCCGAGCTGTGGCATGTTATATGTGATGATCCTTATGTCCCTACAAAAAAGGTCGGAGATCCTGCTATGACAGTGCCTAAGACGAGAAAATAATATAACGATGCTGATAGGAAGGCTGTGGAGAAAAATTTTCGTGCCAAGAAAATTTTGGTGTGTGGTATAGGTCCTGATGAATACAACAGGATTTCAGCTTGCCAATCTGCCAAAGAGATATGGGAAGCTTTACAAATAGCACACGAAGGAACCACTCAAGTAAAGCAATCTAAGATCGACATGCTCACCGCAGAGTATGAGCTCTTCATAATGAAGGATGATGAATCTACTCAAGACATGCACACTCGATTCACTTCCATCATAAATGAATTACACTCGTTTGGTGAAATCATTCCTAGAACAAGCTCGTGAGGAAAATTCTCAGTGTTTTGCCCATTTCATGGGAGAGTAAAGTGAATGCCATTACTAAAGCAAAGGATTTGCAGGAGCTGACTATAGATGAGCTGGTTGAGAATCTGAAAACCTATGAAATGAAGAAGAAGAAGGACATTAAAAGAAGAGAACCAAAGAAGGAAAAGAACCTGGTACTCAAGGCAGAAAGCAATGACTCAAGTAGCGAGGATAGTGACATAGCTTACTTAACCAGAAGATTTCAGAAAATGGTTAGAAGGAATGGAGGTATACCAAAGAGAGGCAGTTCTAGCAAGCGAAAGAACTATGATCTCTGTCATATGTGTGGAAAGCCAGGGCATTTTATCAAAGATTGTCCTCTCCTGAAGCAAGAACACTTCAAACACAACTCTGACAAAGCAGCCAAGAGGAACCCGGTTCCTGATAAACGTTTCAAAAGAAAGAACGCCGCTGACAATGTTGTGAAGCAAACTCTTGCAGCATGGGGAGATTCTTCCAGCGAGTCTGAAGAAGAAGATGGTGCAGGTGACAGCTCAATGATGGCAGTTGAAAGTGAAGCCAATGAGTATGACTCAATATTTGCTTTGATGGCTCAATCAGATGATGATGAAGACGATGACAATGATGAGGTAAATTTTTGGGATGTTCAGAGAAATCTGAAGTCCTAATCTCCTAGAAAACTCATGTCATTAGCTAATGTGTTAATTGATGCTTACCATAGTCTTGTAAATGATAAGGATGCCTTAACTATGGAGTTAGGAGATGCTGAACAAACTAGATATGACTTAGTAGTTTGTGTGGTTAATTTGAAGGAAACCATAGGTAATCTGGAAAATGAAAAGGAGGTTCTAACTGAGAGAATCACTAGTGTAGAACACGAAAGAGATGATCTGA